TAATTGACAAAGAAATGAAAAGTGTATATTATTTATAAACCTGATTTTTCTATCAGTAGTTTCAGTCTCCTCCCCAAGGACCTTCTTCATCAACAAAATTACAAAATTTGAATGTCCTTTCTGTACTATATTGGGTGACCTGTGAAGTAATACCAAAAAAAGCCACAGAAGAAGAAGAAATGGTCAAAGACCCTGATAATATGCACAATTGGCCATTATATTAGAACAATCAAGAGCTGACTGTATTATCATTACGCTTCTGCCTAGGGTGGCCAAATTCTTAGAATAGACATCAACCCAGTAACTCATTTTTCCCTGCAATGTGTCTATCGCTAACATCTTAAATACTATTTTTTAAAGACATACCACAATACCATTATGATACCTAAAAAAATTAACATTAACTTAATATCATTGTCTTGTCGTTTTTCCCACTTGTCTCAAAATGTATGTGTTTACAATATTATCAGTTTCATTACTGATAAATATTGTGTGCCTCTGATAAGATTGCACTGAGGAGGGCAGAATACTCATTTTGTAGATTTTAAAAAATGCCACTTATTTGTTAAAGCAATTGGATTATTTGTCTTGCTTTCTGGATTTGGATGATTGTATCTTCTGTATATTATTTAACATGTTCCATTATCATCCATTGTCTCCGTCCATTTCAGCTACTATAACAGAATACCTGAGACTGGGTAATTTATAAACAATTAGATTTTCTTTCTCACAGTTCTGGAGGCTGGGAGGTCCATGATCTTAGTTTAGTGTCCAATTCGAGAGCCCAGTCTCTACTTCCAAGATGGCACCTTGAATACTGCATCCTCCAGAGGGGACAAAGGCTGTGTCCTCACAGGACGAAAGGATGGAAGGACAAAAGGGCCTAGCTAGTTCCCTCCAGCCCTTTTGTAAGGTCATTAATCCCAGTGATGAGGCCTCTGCCCTCATGGCCTGATCACCCTTCTGAAGGCCCCACTTCTTAACACTATTGCAGCAGGAATTAAATTTCAACAGGAATTTTGGAGGAAACATCAAAACATTGAAATTATAGCAAACCCTTTTGTAAGGTCATTAATCCCATCCATGAGGGCTGCCCTCATGGCCTAATCTCCCTCCTAAAGGCCTTTCTGACCTTTCGTTACAGAGGGTTTTTATTTTTATTTTATTTTATTTTCGAGATGGAGTCTCGCTCTGTCTCCCAGGCTGGAGTGCAATGGCGCAGTCTCGGCTCACTGCACCCTCCGCCTCCCGGGCTCAAGCAATTCTCCCACCTCAGCCTTCTGAGTAACTGGGACTTCAGGCACCCGCCACCAAGCCCGGCTAATTTTTGTATTTTTAGTAGAGATGGGGTTTCACCATGTTGGCCAGGCTGGTCTCAAACTCCTGACCTCAAGTGAGCCACCACGTCCAGTCCTACAGTGTGTTCTTTATGCAGCATATGTGCTACGGAATGCTAGAGTCTGAGGCTCTGGTTTTCAATTATTAATGCTAGTCTGTGTAGGTAATGCCCCAAAACAAATCTTGGAGTCATATTGCCTGTCCAGAGACTCAAGAGCCAGCCTCCTCCCACCATGTGGTCCTAACTCAACTGTGTGTGTTAATTACATAGACTCACACCTCTAGATTTCTACCCCTCCCTCTCTGCAGATACCATGGAAGGCTTTCATTGAAAACTAAGCAAACAAAGATATAGGAGCCTGTATTATAATGAAAAATGCATAAGTTAAAGATTCAATTAAGTTACATGTTTTAAAACCAAAGATTAAAGAGGCAGTTAGTCTAGGCAATTAGACTGTGCCTACCACAGTCTGTCTGTAGGAATCAGGTCTTGTTCAGGACATCAAGGAATGTCTGAAGAGGTTTTTAGAGCATGCTTCAGCGTTAGGACAGGAGCAATGGAAGAATGAGAACACAATAAACTAAGAGTAATTAAACTTGGGAAAGAGAAAGCTTTTTTGGAGAAAAAGTCGATAGAGAACAAGTCAAATAGATAATAAAAGGAAAAATGAAATTGAAGAACAGACCAACACATAAAAAGGAAAAGATGTTGTACTTAGGGTTTAATTCATATTGGCAGTTGTTTTTTTAAGTGGCTAAACGTTTTCAGATTTATTTGGGGACAGAAATGGCAACTGGGACCCAAAGAAATCTAACAAGAATAGAAGCAAAATCTCAGCAAACTGTACTGACTCCTAGATGGAGCAAGAATATAGGCCACTATTGGCGAAGGACTCTTTATGTAGCTCTAAGATAGAGACTCCTTGATAAAAAACCACTGGGAACTGCTCTTTAAAGACTGGGACAGTGATACCAAGTGTACCGGGAAAGTCAGGACAGTTTGAGAGGAAGTATCAGATGAAAGCAAAACGTTCAAGGAATTATTGGATGAATTTCCAGATGTTACTGTAATTATAGATAGGAATACAAGAGCTTCTTGTGCCCCAAAGGAAACATGCCTGAGAAATTTTTAGAATTAAGACAGAATTAAGGCAACAAGATGAAAGATAACAGAAGAGAGCCAGGCAGGACAGTGATAAATGGAATCCAAAGTCAGATTAGCTGTTAATCCAATCAGAAAATGCATGCCACTTAAGATTATCTAACTCAGAAAGGTGAGGGCAGCCAAGATTTTTTGGACAATGGTTGCTTTTGGCAGACCAAAACCTACTGACTTATCCATCACAACTGAAGTCCACATTAGATAAATCTAGAACCAAATGTTACATAAGCACATGTCTGGCCCAGAAAAAAGAGAAAGTTAAAAAATATATATATATATTCAGAAACTACAACTAGCATTAGACCTATTTACATTAGGGAAGGAAAGGGATCAACGTAAAAAGTAAGTTATACTGTAACAAATTCAACTATTTCTCCCTAAAAGGCCTAGAGAGAAACCGAGCACTAGGACACATCCACTACTGCCAAAAAAGCAGAAGTACTGCTGGAACCTGGACAGATTGAAAGCAAGGGATGGCTGTATGCTGAGGGCTCAGCAGAGGTCTGTCCTCACCAGGTCCCAGTGCAACTAGTCTAGTCCAGTTGGCCACAATATCCATCCTCCTTTTCTTCAATAAAATAAAGTGTGGTTAGGTATAAAGCTACCTAAAATGAAAATTACATTTCCAGGTTCAGTTATCCTGAATTGCACTTCTTTTGCAGCTCAGGGTACTCATGTCTAAATTGCAGCTAACAAGATATAAGCAGGAGGTCTCATATGACAGCTTCCAGGAGTCTTCCTTAAGATACTGGCCATAAGCACCCTCTGCTTTGCTTTTCATCCCTTCCTACCTCCTGTAGCCTAGGATGTAGATAATCTGCATATGGGACAGTGAGGTCGAAGTCATGCATGATGAGACATCAATGTCAAAAGAATCTGGATCCCTGACACTGTGGAGGACTGTACAGCCCTGGAATGCTGAAATACACATTTATATGAAGGAAATAAAGTTCTACCTTCCCACAGTTATTTATAAAGTTTTCTATCATTCATAGCCGAGCCTCATTCCAACCAGTATGCCTAGGGATTCAAGCTGCAGAAACATCAAGAGCAGTTTTAGTTCAGGAATAGGCTGAGGATGTTTTCCAGCTGAAACAAGTGAAGGAATGAAGGGAAAACTGTTCTTAGAAGCCAGCCTTCACAAGCCGAGGCAGTTCCAAAGTCCAAGGCAACAACAGGAGCCACTGTGGCAAAGAACTGGGAAGTGAGCACACAGGAGAGTGTGGAAACCATGCCATCATTATT